CTTGAACTAAGGCTCAAAATAGTTTGCCTAAGTGCATGTAGCTTGAAAAAGAGAGGAACCATGATTTAAACTTGGGACTTCCTTGCTCCAGAGCCCAAGTTCTTTTCTCTAAAAATAAGGAAACATAGATAAATTTGATCCCCTAAGCAACATCTGTATGTTCTTGGTCTTCAGACACTAGTAAAATTGACAAGCAACTTGCAACAGTTTTGTTCACTCTCACTACTATCCATTTGAAACAAATTGCAAATGAAAGAATAGACTTTAGAATTCTCATATTAGGTGCTTGGATTTTCACATCCAGATCAATGTAAAATAGTATATATTTAGTTTCTGGCTTTACGTGTGTGTGTGTGTGTGTGTGTGTGTGTGCACATGTATGCATGCATGTACATTCATGTGTCACATGTGTATATTCACCCAGAAGGGTATATAGGTTTTATGGGGCCAGAAGTTTATAATTTAGATGCAAATAGTTCTAGGGCTCCTCCCAAGGGATTATGTAAGTGAAGGCCCCTGAAGCTCACTAGCTTCATGACAAACCCACCTCTATATGGGCATGCGTGTACATGAACTATGTATGTACGTGTGCAGATCTATGGAGGAGCCAACAAAAACTAGAAGCACCTTTTACAGTTAGTACTAGTTATGTCTTTTCTGGGAAGACAAAGAAAATTTATCAAGAATTGAATGGGCCAAGAATTTCCCGAAAAGTGCCTTTTGAATTTGAGCCAGTGATCATTAGCTAAGTTAGAGATATAGTGCTTTGGCTCATGCTCTTTACTTTCAACAAGCAAATAAATATAACATTTTAAAATATCTTCATTATTCCAGAGATCTCTTTGTTAGTACTACTTTTCAGATATGCCTCCATGAATATTTTCAGAGAAGAGGCCAGGTGCTGGCAGGATTCAGGGACTGTAGCGATGGAGAGAGGATGGGAAGCCATCTTGATTTATGTAGAAGATAGTTGTAGATGGGACACATGGTCAGGGTGCTCCAGAAGCCAAAGCTAAGAGCTAAAGTGCATGAGACTATAGGGCAGCCAGATTCTAGCTCATCAGAACTTTCTATCAGCTAGAGCTGTCCAAAATGGCTTGCTTATCTCGTGGCCAGCTTCCCGTCACTGGAAGTTCTCCTCCAAAGCTACTTCTTGGCAGGGGAAGGGGGGGGCGAAGGGCTTTTAATGAACACAAGTTCGAGTCATTATAGGAAACCTCTAGAACAGTGGTCGGCAAACTCATTAGTCAACAGAGCCAAATATCAACAGTACAACGATTGACATTTCTTTTGAGAGCCAAATGTTTTAAGCTTGAACTTCCTCTAACACCACTTCTTCGAAATGGACTCGCCCAGGCCGTGGTATTTTCTGGAAGAGCCACCCTTAAGGGGCCAAAGAGCCACATGTGGCTCGAGAGCCGCAGTTTGCCAACCACGGCTCTAGAATCCTCTCTCGGTCTAAGACTCCAAGCAGGTATCAGGAGCGTTTCTCAGCAAGTTGTTATTACTGCCAGTCATGCACACACAGGGCATGCATTTAGTTGGGTCCCCATAGCAGCGACATGTTTGTGCTAAGCCTGACACATTCCCTAGCAGAGCCCTGGTTGCTGAGGAAACATGGATGGATGGGTGGAGGTATCTAGTTGTGGCAGTACTTCACCGTGTTAGGCTTCAGTTTTTTCCTGGCCTGGAACCTGGGACCTCAGGCTCTTGCTCCCACCCACTAGCCAGCTGTCACAGGTGGTGCCGATGAATGTTATCTTACTGGTTCTCACAGCAGGCGTGCAGTTTAGGTGAGGAACTAGCCAAGTTCCGCTTGGCTCTCTCCTCCGCCTGCTTGCTCCTGCCCACTCAGAGATGAACCTCGACTGCCTGGCTCCCTTTGCCAGCTTTGGGGTGAGAGGCTGAAGTTAAGACCGGGGCTAAAGGTCACCTGGGCGGGACAAAGCACAGGTCAGCCCCACCGTGGGCTTAGCCCACCAGGGCGGTGAGGTGTCCAGAGAGGCCACGAATGAGTAAACGGCCTCAGTTAACCTTTGCCCTTTCTGAAAAACAGAGACTAACTGACCGTGACCCAGGTACCCCTCCTTTGTGCAATATGTGAGCTATTACTATAGTAATATCAATAATAATGATAGTAATAATGATGGTGGTGGTGGTGGTGACAGCAGTGGTCACAGCCACAGCTAGTGTTTGCTGCATTCTGTTTGCCAACTCCTCACAGTAATCCTGCGGGGAGGATGAAGCTGAGTGAGGCCTCAGGGGTGTTACAGGATGAGCCTGAGGCACCAGCCTGGCCGCACGGCGGCGGAGACTCTTCCCAGCCCATGTTACTGCCCTGCCTGCTCCTGCCCAGTCTGCAGCCACCACACCTCCGAGCTTCTCCAGCCCCGGGCGTGACCCCAGGAAGAGGTCAGGGTGCAGCAGTGCACCAGCCCCTGCTCTAATGCTTCAAGACCCTCCTCTCATTGAATCCTCACAGCAACCTCTGGGTGGATGTTGTTTGCATTCTGCTGAGAAGTTCAGGGACTCGCTCAAGGTCACCTGGATGGTGGGCGAGCTGTCCAGCAGCCACGTCTGCGGTCTGTGCCATCCTCCATGTCAGCCTTCCTCTCTAGACAACTAAGTCAAACACCTAACAGGTGCTACGTTTATATTTCCTGGCTCCCCTTCAAAAAGGATGCAAAACCTTTTATTATTAATGTTTTGTTTTCAGTGTTTTGTTTTTCTCTTCTTCATGCTATTCAAATAAAGCAGCGCTCAAATCCACAGGATGAAACCCAGTTAGTGTGAGGCCGTGTAAATTAAGCAAAGTTTAGGAAGTCAGGCCAGGTTGTCTCAGTAGTTGAGCACTGACCTTTGAACCAGGAAGTCATGGTTCGATTGCTGGTCAGGTCACATGCCCAGGTTGCAGGCTCCATTCCATGTATGGGAGGCAGCCAGTCAATGATTCTTTCTCATCATTAATGTTTCTACCTCTCTTTTTCTCTCCCTTCCTCTCAAATCAATAATAAAAAAAAAAAATTTTTAAAGAAAAGTTTAGGAAGACATCATCCTAAACAGAAACAGAATATTGATTAGTGACTAATTTTTGTAAGTGGTTAAAATATGAAGTTTAAACTAGGACTGTAGTTTGGGCTCCATGTCCTCAGCTTATCGAAGACGACATTACCATGGCTGCTGTGACTGCTCCGTGAGACTGCGGGGAGCTCCGCAGCCTTCCAGATCCCAAACCCCATCACCTGCGCCAGGGGCTGCCTACAAAGACCTTTGGAAGGTCTGGTTCAGAACAGTGCTGCGTCTTCTTGCCTGTTTCACTGGAAGGAAATACCCAAGTGACCTGGTGACCTCAGCTCTTTAAAGTCGTTTGCCTTATTGAGTCATAATAATAAATAGTGGCTGTAAGTTATGTTAATAACAGCCAAACTCAAAGGTAGAGAAAGGACGAAAGCCCAAGTGAAGATGCTTGGGTCCTCGTGAATCCCTCAGAATAGAATGCGATTTCTCAGGCTGAGTTTAAAACGAAAAAAATATTTATATATATATATATATATATATATATATATATATATATATATATATATATATATATTTGCAGTTAAGTTGTTAATGAAAGAGCCTGTTTAAACGGGCTAAAATTAGAGCTAAAAGCCCATTGTTTGTTCCAGTTGTTGACTGCCTATCTGTGTGTGGAAGGGCGTGGGGGGACAGTCAGGGCTGTGACATTTGAGAGATTAGTCACCCACCCCTGAGGGGTTTGGGGCATCCACCTGCATTTTAAACTTGGATCTAAGTCAAAGGGGTGGGACAAGACCACGACAGGTGTTTTTTCTCTAATTAATTTCTCAGTGGACACGTCAAATACCAAATATATCAGAACAAAGGGTCCCAATTCAGGACAGCCCCCTCTGTCTCCCGCAAGGGGCTGACAACTACAGATGATTCTCTGGAAATTATGGGACCTTGGAGCAGTGCTGTGTTGCATTTTTAAAGGAGGGAAGCATTCCAGATGTGCCAGTTCCCTATACCAGTGGTCGGCAAACTGCATCTCTCGAGCCACATGCGGCTCTTTGGCCCCCTGAGTGTGACTTTTCCACAAAATACCACGTGCGGGAGTGCACGTACAGTGTGATTGAAACTCCGTGGCCCATGCGCAGAAGTTGGTTTTTGGCTCTCAAAAGAAATTTCAATCGTTCTACTGTTGATATTTGTCTCTGTTGACTAATGAGTTTGCCAACCACTGCTCTCTATACGATCTCTTCTGTACTTAGCAGCTGTGACCAGACAGTGATTTTTTTTCATATTCTCTTTCTACCTGGGATTGGGGTGGGTAGAAAAGCATGGTCATTATGTATGTTTGTGTGGTATTTTGTTTTTTGGTGTGTTGTGTGTGTGTTTTTTTTTTCTTGGGGGGGGGGGGATAATTTCTATGAAGAACCTCTGAGTTATCATAGGGATATTAAAACTTTTCATACTCAGTGACTTCCTAAATCTTTGAATTATCTGAAATGCAAGCAAAGATGGATGTGGAAAGAATGTTTTCACAAAAGGAATAGCAATAAATTAGGACAATTTAAATTTCAAATAAAGTCTCTGAAGCAGCCATTATGCAGCTACTGGAACAGTTCAATAATGTGGGAGGGACACTAATCTATGATATGCTCGATTCTAATTTATAACTCTAGGTAGTGAATGGGGCTTTCCTCTTCATGATGAAATTATGGGTGGCTTTTGTTCTTCCTGGTTTTCGGCATTTTATAAAACTTTTTTTGGTATATTTCATAAGCGAAAGTTCTATTTAAAAAGTCACATGCTCTGACCTTCAGAGTTCCAAGCGGCACATCCCATGTGTCCCCTTAGCCCTGGGAGGGTGGGAAGCAAGCCTGTCCTACTCACAGGACATGGTGAACTCAGGACAGTGCCACGCGTACCATCGAAGCTCAGTGAGCAGTGAATAAAATATTCCCATTTCTGTACTTCTCTTTCTTTTCTCTTTCCAGGTGATGTGCTCTATGAACTCCTTCAGCATATTCTGAAGCAGAGGAAACCTCGGATCCTTTTTTCACCTTTCTTCCACCCCGGAAACTCGATCCACACCCAGCCGGAAGTCATACTGCACCAGAACCACGAGGAAGGTACCCGAGGAGGCTTGTCTTTCTTTGCCCGAGGCTTAGACAGATCCAAGAGGTCTCATTGTTAATTTGATAAGTGGTTCTTTTTTGTGTGGTTCATTTTTTTCATTCAACAAACCCATTATTGAGTGCTTACTTTGTATAAGATCCTGGGGGAAAGGCCAAGATGATTGAGATGGACTCTAGGCCAGTGGTCGGCAAACTCATTAGTCAACAGAGCAAAGTATCAACAGTACAACGATTGAAATTTCTCTTGAGAGCCAAATTTTTTAAACTTAAACTATATAGGTAGGTACATTGTTATTAACTTAAGGTACTCCTAAGCTGGCCTTTGCTAAAAAATCAAGGGACCAAAGAGCCGCATGTGGCTCGAGAGTTGCAGTTGGCCAACCACTGCTCTAGGCTCTATGCAACTCGGTGAAGAAAGGAGCAAGATATGCACATGTCATAGTAGGCATCATAAAGAGGTGGTGGGAGGGGAGATATGTCCGGTACCAAGAGCAGGTCAGTTCCATGCACGAGGCGGCTCTGGAGGGTTCCAGCCGGATTCAGATAAGCAGGGGTGATGTGGAGAACATTCCAAGCAGAGAAAATGGCGTAGGACAGAAAGTAGTCAGAGGAATTGGGTTGTACAGCTTATCTTCCCTCCCCCTCACCTCCCCACAACCTTTTATCGTGAGGAATCTTAAACATACCCCAAATAGAGAGAATAAACTAAATACAACCTTGTGAGCTATCGGCCTGCTTCCACAATGATCCACACTTGACCTTGGTAGAGCTCCTCGAAGGAGGTCAGGTTGGAAGTAGGATGTGGAGGATTCGGATGGAGGACAGACAGGGGGAATCACTGAAAATGAGTGAGCAGAGGGGAATGAAAGCTGGAGGATGAAAAAAGACCCAAACCCTGTGAACTCTGTGGAGGAGCAGAGGGGTCTTCTTCATGCACCAGAGGTGGTGTCTTACAGTGTGCTCAGTGTAAGTGCTATTGCAGCCGCCCCAGGTGCTGCTCTCCTGTGAGTCACACCCATCACCAAAATCATCGGTAGAAAACAGAACAGAAAACCAGACATGCACTGTGACCCTGGACATAGTCCAAAGCAGGCATAGGGGTCCCTGGCCGGTGTCGCTCAGGTGGTTGAATGTCGTTCCATACATTGAAAGATTTCTGGTTCCATTCCTGGCCAGGGCATATGCCCAGGTTTTGGGCTGAATCCATGGTAGGGGGCATACAAATCGCAACCAATTGATGCTACACTCTCACATCAATGTTTTTCTCTCTTTCCCTCCCTCTTCCTCTCTCTCTAAAAAGCAATTTTTAAAATCTTAAAAACAAAAAAACAAAAAAGCAGGCATCTGGACATGGAAATAGGTATAAAAATCTTACTTTGTGCACCATTCCATTGTACGGAATGGTGCTCAGTGCCTCTGTGGAGCCTTCCTGCCCGGATGGGCTAGACAACAGATGTGGGGACACAAAGCAATACTTTTCACATGGACCAGATTACTGGGGGACTAAAACCTGTCTCAGGGCATTTCCTTCCATTGCTAGATCACCCCCAGGAGCAGGGCTAATGTCTTTGTTCTGTTATTGGCGAATTAAAAACAGGGGAGTTGTTTTCTTCATTAGCACTTCACAGAAGAGAGCCTGACTACGGGCTTCTCCTCACCTCTTCCTTGTGCCAAGTGCTTCCCAGCAGGTCCCTGGCTTTGTGATGTCTCTCTCATCCTTCCTTCCTCTAGTTTTACCCTTGCTAAATTTAGCGGCTGGCCCCACCCCCAGTTGGGTTTCTTCCTTCTTCTGCTCTTCCTGCACGTACATTTCCGCCTGCGTGGTAACCAGGAGGTGGGTTTACTGAAGCTTGACATTAAGGCGAGAATTATATTACCTTGCCTGCCTCTTCAGATACAAAGGGTGTGTGATGAGTGTTCCGCGCCCCCTCCCCCCATCTTTTTCTCATTACTTTAAAAAAAATAAATAAAAATCCCATTTGGAATTTCTATTCCTTTTTTTTTTTTTTTTTTTAATTCCCCAAATGTGATTGGAGACTGATGGTCTGACCTCATCACAAATCCTTCCTCCTCTCCCCGTGGCCTGATTTGACTCATAAGTAGGTGTGCTTGTCATTGTTCTCATTTGCAGGAGCTAATCAATAGAGAAAGCTGGCTTACTCTCAGAGCTACTGTCGAACCCAGTAAATACAGGTGTGCCCCTCCTACGCTTTAATGAGCTGTGCTCTCAAGTGTGGTGGTGGTAGGGATGAGCTCAGTAGGTAAAAGAAAGGAGCTAATGAGGCCAAGGTCAAGGGTCTCATCGCCCTGTGAGCCAGTTAGCTCTGCTGCAGGCCCTGCTCTGGAAAGTGCTGTGTTCTGAGACCACTCCTTAAAGCTATCAGCCAGGAAGCAAGAGCTGAGAGTACATACCCTCTCCTTCGCCCGGGCAGTCGGAGGGCATGCTCTCAGATGGACAGGGGGATACACAGGAAAAGAAGCTTAGGTCTTTTATCAGGTGTTAGCAGATGAGAAGAGCCGTACAAGACCCAGAGGCGAGAGGAAGAGGCTGCTGCCCCCAGACTTCCAGATCTATCAGTGCCCTTGGTGACGAAGGAGAAAGAACCGACTAGAGTTCCCTGCCCCCACCCGCCTCCCACCCCTTTTCCTCTCTCCTTCACCAGCAAGAAGAAATATCCAGCTCGACAGGAACTATCTCTGGAATCAATACTGTGATATTTACTTGTGACTAGTAGCACATTAATATGGGCATATGTTAACATACAGAGAGATCTGGCCCCGAGAACAAGTAGTTCTGTAAAGTGAAATTAAGCATAGCAAATATTGTGTGCCCAGTGATTTATCTTACCTCTTGGGGTACAGTGCCTTGTGAAAGTAGCTCCTGACTTGGCGCAGAGAGATGTGACAGAATGGAGGGGGAACCAGTGTTTCAGATGGGGCTCAGCTCAGCCCCTGGATAGGCTGGCTCCGGGAAGGGGGGGGGGGGGGGTGTTGTGCAGAGTGATGTGCAATCACAAAGCTTCATTCAGCCCCCCTGTGCTTTACCTCATCCCTGCCACCACCTTACCCAGTTTGCACATTCATGGCATACTGGGAATTTATCTCCCAACACAAAGGTTTCTTTTTTAATCCAGCAGCAGTTCCCTGCAAATATCCCATCCGGGTACATTGCATTGAAATCCTGTCACACACACCACCACCACCACCCTCCCAGCAGCCACACTGCAGTCCCATAAGCTAGGATGCTGGTGTTAGCTCAGAGGCCCCCTCCAGGCTCTGACAGGAGAAGAAGATGATCTTACTAATTCAAACTTTTTTTTTAAACACGTGTCTTCTCTACGTCTGTTCTGAAATTGTCCTGTGTTGGGCAAAGCAGTCCTCAGATCACCACCTAAGTGTAAGAGAACCTGCATCCCACTCTTTTTCCTTATTTGTTTATGGGATGGGAGTGCAATATTATATTATCGGGTAACCTTATAAATTTTCATTCCTACTGAGGCATTTTATGACAACGAAATGGGATTCTAACAAGTAAGCAAAGGCAATAGGTATAAGCCAGAATCATTTTGACAAACTGGGACACATGGTCAGCTGAGATAAAAATTTCTGAAGAATGATGTTGGAAGTCAGGCAACCAGGTTCTAACCCATATTCTTCCAGAACAATCGTAAGAGCTACGTTTCTCTTTTTTTTTTTTGCCCTCAGTTGTAAGATAGGAGATTAGACTAAATGATCTCAGATCTTTCAGCTCTCAACTCCTCACATTCTATCCATGTGTGAGCCTCACTGGGTGATATGAAGATGAATAGGGTGCATTCCCTATCTTCAGGGTAAAGGACAACTAAAATCTAGAAAATCCTAACAGTGTCCTGCCTGGTGTTACTCAGAAATAGCTAAATATCTCTTCTAGATCCCTTTTCTTTTATTGTTGTGACCCATTTAATCTGCACAATATGAATTAGATAGTTACGTAGGAAGAAGACAAAATAAACAATGATACTACTTCTTTTACCAAAACCAGGAGGCAAAACATCTTTAGAAATTTCAGATCAGCAAATGATGTTGGCCTGGACATGCACTAGTCTCTAGGGAGAAGGAATGAAATCTATGCTTATTCTTTTAATCCTCACCTAAGGATGTTTTCATTTATTCTAGAGAGAAAGGAAGGGAGGGAAGGAGGGAGGGAGGAAGGAAGAGAGGAGGAGGAGGAGGAGGAGGAGGAGGAGAGAGAGAGAGAGAGAGAGAGAGAGAGAGAGAGAGAGAGAGAGAGAGAGAGAGAGAGAGACTGACTTCAATTGGCTACCACCTGTATGCATCCTGATTGGGGATTGAACCCACAACCTAGGTATGTGCCCTGACCAGGAATCGAACCCTCAACTTTTTCGTGTACGGATGACGCTCCAACCAGTGGAGCCACTGGCAGGGAAATGTCTATGTTTCTTCAATGTTCTTCCACCATCTCTTTGGGGGGCTCCCCTGTAGTTTCATTCCTTCCGTTCCACCCTTTCCTATGCCCCATCTAAGAGACTGGGAGGTGATTCTTAGTCACTTTCATTTGAAAATATTTGCATGTGCAGGGCTGTGATTGTTTCTGCAACAGTGCAGGCAGTTTTAAGTGACAGTTGTGCTCTGGGGCAGCTTTTTGCCCCCAGGTGGACATGGAAAGTGGAAGTGAAGATGAGAAAAGTCAAGTGTCAAAATACTCTTTTCTCAATTCTTACCACCACACAGGGGAAGAGAGGAGAGAAATCATGTCTTTGATGGGGGGGCAGCGTGGGTGGCTCACATTCTGGGATGGCCCACAGAAGTTTTATTTATAGGGTGGTTTTATTAATGGAAACATTACCTCTCCCCCTCCGCCAGCCACCAGACCCAAGTGCCCAAAAACTGTTCTGGAGGAAGGAAATCTTAAACAAGTTTAATGAAATAATTAAAGAAGATGAGGTATATGAATCTGCTTTATAATAACAAAATAAAAGCTATCATTTATTGGG